CTTGTGATGTCGAAAGTTCACCAGCAAGCTTGTGATGTCGGGGTTTAGGTTTGGCCCCTTTTCCAAGTCGTCATTGAAGACTTCACCTGGATTCTGGCTTGACGATGCGTCAAAGACGATCCACATTTTGGTCGTTGTTCGGTCCTTTATAATTACAGCTTGATGCGGCATGTAGTATACAAATTTGTTCTGTATATCGGATTCAGCCTCTTCTTCGACGTTTTCTGCTATTTCTTGCTCGAAGTACTCTCGAATAGCTTTGTCATAGGCTAGGAGTTCATCTTTATCCTTGCGTAATTCCTTGGTCACCTGGATAAGCCTCTTCTCTGCAATGGTGTCGTTGTCGTCCAATGTCACGTTTTCCTTCCATGGTAGCCGCACTTGGTATCTTCCTGCCTTGAACTCCATTGTTTGTCGGACGTAGTCTAAACCCATGTTCATCGATCATCTTTGTTGCTGGTTTCTCCTTGATGCCCATGTTTTCCAAGTCCCAAAATCTCTGCAGTTCGTCCACAGTCGTGTCCGACTTGGCACTGACCTTGAGTACGATAACCGTCGATGATTTCATTGGCACACAATGAAGTCCTCCAGGACCTTGGACCGTCCATCCCAATATTGTTTCCATAGCCATTACTTTTGGATGAATCTCGCAAATGCGACCAGTGACTACAGTCCAGTAATAATCTGCTCCAATTAATATAGAAGTTTCCATATTTTTTCTTTCTTTGTCCGTCTTCTCGTTGTCATCAGCCAAACGAATTCCCATCGATCTTGCTCTTTCGTGTATTGTCAACGGTGGCAATGGTAGCACGTCACAGGATATAACTTCTATCTTCAGTGCCTCAATCGTGACTGGCTCCGAGATGGGATCCTTCCTCACGCTGACCTCGACGACTTTCATGTCTAGTTCCATCTCTCCTCCTCCAAATGATCCTACAGTAATCCTTTCGGATCTTTTTACCTTGCACGCTAGTTTTCTTGACAATCTTTTGAGGATCAATGTCCTCTGACTCCCGTTGTCCAGCAGAATCCGTGCGTTACACCTACTGTCTTCTCCCTCCATCCACGAAAAGGCTGTCTGCAGTAGTATGCATTTGTGTTCATCAGACTGCTGTGCGTGCATGTTGCAGGACTTGCTGGTGTCTAACCGGTCAGGTTGCGCGCTTTTACGCACTTGCTCAACATCACCGCTTTGCTGCTGTGCTGACTTTCCTGCAGGCGTACGTGATCGACACATGGATGTCGCGTGCCTTCCCTTGCATGTTTTGCAGCGTACGTTAGCGCGGCATACCTTCGCTGTGTGGTGAGGTCTGGTGCATCTGAAGCACCTTCCTTCCCGTTGCAAGGCTTCTTTCTTCTGTTGCATACTAATGCTTCTTCTGCAATCTTCCGTGTAGTGTCCAGTCATCTCACAGAAGATGCATTTCTTAATCGATATGCTTTGAAGCGTAGATGTTCTAGTCCGCCTCATACTGTGCGGTGACTGGGTCACGTCGTTTTTTTCCTCCCGAGTTTCTTCTCTGCTGCGTATATATATGTTTAGAAACTCTATAATTTCTTTCAAACTGCTCGTGCTGTCTCTTGACGCTGAGTCCGATTCCGTAGTTGCTGGTCTGTTGTCACCTTTCTTTAACACTTTCATCTTCATCTCAATCCTCATATCCACCGGTAGCGCAGATTTCACAACAGGAGCTATCACTGTGGCGTAACTACCCATTTCCACTCGTAATGACTGCAATGCTCGTGTGTTCACTTGCAACTTTTGGAAGAGTTTCTTCAACCCATCTACATCTTTAGGACTCTTCACTGCTTCCAAGTTTGCAAGCTCTTTTATGTAGGTTTCTTTCAAATTATCTTCTCGTCCGAAGGTTTCTTTCAGAAGAGCGACTGCATGCGCGTAATTCTGATCAGAAAACTGCAAACCTTCTATGAGGGACGCAGCCTCCCCGCTCAGAGACGCCAGAAGGTAATTAAATTTTTGATTCTTCGGCATGTTCACTCTGTTATGCACCGATGTCTCGAACTGATGCCAAAACCTTGGCCATGCTGTTATTTTCCCATCAAACTTGATCATCTCAAGACGTGGCAACTTAACAAGCTCTTGCGTCTCCAAGATTTGGTTAGTACCTTGCACTGAACTTGACTGTTCTGTGACTATTCTATAGTAGTCAGTTGCGTCGCTTGTTCTAACTCGCGTAATTGCTGCTCTATTTTTGTCGTTGCTGCGACGATCTTCATCTCATAATGCAAAACTCTTTCAAATTCCGCCTCCGCGTCGTCTTCTTCAATGAACGGTTCAATCTGTTCATCTTAGCGTCTGTGACACACTCTTCATCTGGTTCAGAAGCGTCGTAAGTTGCGCTCGATCGGCGTCTTCTTCTATCTTCTTATCGATTTCGCTCGTAAGCGTCGTCACATTTGCTCGAAGCGTCTTCCGCTTCTTCGATAGGACCTCTTTATTCATGTCTAAAACGTGTTGAAAGAGCTCTTGCCTGTTTATGTGCGTCTCCAACAGTCGTCGGTTGTGGTCCTTCTCTCGACGGTTCGTCCTTGAGTCAGACGCCGCTGCTTCGTTCTTCAACGCGTTGTTGCGAATGGGGTTGAAGTCTGTGCGTCTGTCTTCAGATCATCCTGGTCACGGCACCATGTTTCAGAAGGACCAGAGAGACCACAGAACCGATACGTCTTCGGTTTATTGTTGACAGAACAGGAAAAAAAAAAAACATGCAGAGCGTGCCCCTGGCTACTTCTTCTTCCTCGCCTCCGAGCTCCATCTTCAATCTGTTTTCTACACGCGAGCCAAATGTTAAAGCACAGCACGCGGCCTGAAATTCACAATAAATTATCAAAGTCAGCTAAATATTGATTCTCTTCCCTCGACAATGACGGAAGACGCTCAAAAATCGCACGTAGATTACCCATCTATCAGCCATAGGGTTATTTGAATATGGCGCGCTCGGTTCTTACAGGGATCGCCGCGAGAGGCCGTCACTTGTCCACGCGTGCGCGCGCCATCGCACTAAAAAAAGCCACGTATGTGAAGAAAAAAAAAGGGGGGTGCTCAAGGTCACGAGGTGCGTGTGCTTTTTGTTTGCCCCTCCCATCCCTCCCTGCTTAGCTTCCAGCGCTGTTGTTGGACAAGAGGAGAGAACGCGATCGCAGCGTGTGACGAATCTTTGTAACTACACTCGTACTGGACGGATTCTTAAAACTTTTGCGGCATTGAATTATGGAGGCAAAACTCTCTTCCAGAGAATCAATTTCATGGTTGCTCAAAAAGTGTTTCAAGGCCCCTTTAAGGGCACACTGCACGATTACCTCATGTTGATTAAAATTATATTTTGTAGAATTTCATGTGTAAATTAGTAATCACAGTTTCACTAACTGTAAATATTGCGTTCAGATGGTCACTTACGCACAAGATCAACAAAATGTGCAAGCGTATGCCACGCCGCCTTTCCAAGGAAGCAATCAAGATGTTTCACAGCCCGCGCAAAATTTGCGAAGTTTCTAATAAATGGTGTTGAATTAAAAGCCAAGTCTCTTAAGGCTTATATGTTCCTCGGGGATCCCCTGGCAGCTGGTCTCAATTGGGTCCTTCCATGCCAAACGTCCCGACCATTTTGGCGAACTTCTCAAATGTATTTGAAAAAAATTGTGCTGATGTACATTGAAAACAGTGAAACGGAACTACATCGCTGAAAAAAATTTTTGGTCACCTGGCTGCCTTCTGAACTTCTTGGAATGCCGTTTGGGTGGTGTTTGTAAAAAAAACTATTTTAAAAGTACTGCTTCTTCTTTATATACCAAATTTTATCTACTTGTTGAGTAAAGGTTTTTGAGTAAGGTGTTAGAAGCTCAGTAATATAACTGCAAATTTACTGGCACATACGCCTCCAAGAATTTAGCCAAAATACGTTATGTTTCCATTTCTTTTTCTATTAAAATTCTGCACTTTGTATAAATATCTGAGTAGTAAATACTTCACAGAAGGTATATCTTGAGAAAAAAAAATATTTTAGACCTCTCAACCTGTAAAATTTACGATAATCATAAATTTCTCAAAATTGTCAGTTTTGTTCATATTGAATGCAATTTGCACCATGTGGTGGTCCAATTAAAAAATCACCTTTATACTTAAATCGAAACCAAATCAACATTCCTTTTAATGTGGCAAATCTTATCATTACATGACTTTTTTTTGTTCTGAGAAAAAAAAATTGTTGAACTTTCGCGTTGGGGCCTATCTTCTCATTGGTCGTACGACAGATGCCACCTAAAATTTCCCATTGCCGTCATTGGGAAAAGTTTAAATTTTTTCATTGAAACAAAAAAGTAATAAGATTCGCTATATAAAACGAACTGTTTATTTGCTTTCAATTCAAGTATAAAGGTGATTTTTAATTGGACCACCACATGGATGATGATGCGCGAGTAGGGTTAAGTCTACAATCCAAGTGCTCTTTTGATGTGTTCATATAAGAGCACTTGAAGTACCTGAAGGGGCCAGGAAAATGTGTTCCATTTAACGGGAGTGTCGTTTAACGAGGAATGCACAAGGGTGCAGGGTACAAGTACAAAACCAACTATATCAGGTGCCGTTACATTCAAGAGATTTCAATTTATCAAGTCTTCAGTATTTTGTATGGTTGTAAAGCACTGATGACGCCTAGGCGACACCGCAGCATTACAATCTGTCTGACGCTAGATTGTATGCAAACATGAAGAACTTTTTATTTCTTGTGAAAAGACAACTTTTCCAGAAAGAAACTGCGGGAATCACCACAAGAGTTACAGTTATCCCGCGGTTTCGAAAACTTGCTGTTCCCGGAACGAAACTGGCGATTCCACACCTAACAACATTCTTGCGCTGGCACTGACCCAGTGCAGCTGCAAAGCAGCACTGGTGCAATTTGTGGGAGCAGGAACGCACGTGACAAGACTAGTATACCTTGCACGCTAAGCGAGATGTCAGAATTTAAAAAAAACATAAGCGGTCACTTTTGAAGTTCACATTTTTTATTCAATCTTCTCAACAAGAGCGCGCTCAGTCGAATCACTTCAGAAGGGATGTCATTTACAAGAAGAAATAAAAAGTCACTGTACAAAAGAGCAGGAGAAACATCTCTCGACCAAAGCGTCACACTTGCCGCCACGTTTCCCCTCGCACCACTGCAAACTTCGTTGCGCGGTCGGAAAAGGGGGAGGGGGCACCCCTTGACAAAAAAAAGTTCCATGCGGGAAAAAGACCCTTGGCAAATCACCATATTTACAAAAAAAACACACAGCCGGTGATCCAGCCTGATGCCCGAGCGAGAACACCAGTGATCTGGGGCCTCGTTCGCCCGCACGCTTACACCATTCTCTCTCGCCGCGGCGATTCCACAGAGACAGCAAGACGTTAAAACATCGCTTTAATAAAGAGGCAAACAAAGACCAAACATGGCTGCACGATCACTTGACGCTGAACTGCGATCGAGTCAACTAGTGGGTGCACGATAAACTTCAAGGCAACGGCATCATTGTGCAAAAGAGGTACGTCCAACTCGCCTAAAAATTACCAAATTTCACGCCAAGAGGCAAAGTTGTGTCAACTTGAATCAATAGCGACGCCTGCTAGGAGCGCAGCCCGTGCAACCAGAGGGCTCGCTGTGAAGCAAGCGCGCTACTTGCATTATCTTCAATCTCCAAACTGACAAAAATGGTACAGTAGCAAAACATGCATGACTGCGCAGTAACACTAGCAACGATTTCAAATGCGCGTCACTGTGGCCGTAAATTGCCCGCGACAAACCCTTGGCATAGCTACCTGTAAGAGAATGCACTGAAGACACAAAGCGGGGAAAAAAATACACGTAAAAAGAAAGTGATGAACATGGCACATTGTAGGCGCATGAAAGACGCAAAGAGAGACGCACACACAGCTGGGCCCGCATCACACATGGCAGCACGGGCATCGCAGTCGTCAAAGGCAAGACGAAAGGAACAAATCCGCATCCGCGCTTTAGCCAAGCTGGGGGCAGGCCTTACCTTCCCCCATTTCGCGACGTCTCGCATTGCACCGAAAAGTCTCCACAAACCACTGTCCTTCATGGCAGGACAATTTCTCTTTCACTTCGGCAGTCACGCGATGCGCTCACATTTTTTTTTACCCGCATGCTAGCAATCGAGACAGAAAGGGGCCGACAGCCATAGCTGCCCCGAAGTCACGACTTAAAAAGAAAAACACAAAGAAATTGGGGCACACTCGCGGGAGTAGTCAGTTCAGAGAAACTTCCACCACTGCCACGGAAACGGCATTTGAAAAGTAGGCAAAAAAAGGCAGGCGAAGGCAGAGTGTCTCTCTGGGAATACAGTCTGCGAAAGAAACCGAGAGGGCAGGCGAAAAGCTCGCGGAAGCGAGGGAACGTGTTGAAGTTGGTGCCCCCAGTCAGTTGCTGTCGGACTCTGAGTCGGATGATGACGACGAAGAGCTACAGCCATTGCCCAGCGGGATGGCCAGGTTCGTCCCACGACGGGGGCTCCAGAGGGCCACCCGGTCGGGCAGAGCCGTCGGGCGCTGGATGCCATTGCGCTGCGGCTGCTGTTGTTGCTGCAGCTTCTCCTGGCGCTGTGTGGGGAAAAAAACACGAGTCTTGCAGTTAAATGCAATGCCTAGGATAGTATCTAAAAAAACAGAAAGGTGGAAGTTCAGGCATAGATGGAAGCTTGGAAGAGACCAATATTTCATGAATAAAAGGTGTCAATGAAGCCGACATTTCAACTAGCCTTATGTAATGCCTTATGGCGCTGTGGGTATCAAATAAATAAATAAATAAAACGAATAGACTAGCGGACTTGTCTTCAAAGGTGTACAGACAATTTTTGAGACACTAAAAGGGATGTTGTTCATTTCCTACATGTGCAGTATTAACGCTCGCGACACACTGGGGTTCGACAACTCGTATAAAATATTTTACTTTGATTGTAAAGCCTCCCGCCCAGAACATCAGCAAGCAAGCCCAACTGCAATGGATATTATCACGGCGAATCCACACAGGTACACTGACCGTGCATGCAGCTTAAATCACGGAAAACGCTGTTGGCGTCAGTAGACGATCATTCAATCAGCATCGTTTACGTGTGCCACGAGTCCGCCTCGGTGGAATGCTAGTGGCTACGGTGCTCAGCTGCCGAGGCAAAGGTCGCGGGTTCAACTCCCGCCGTAGCGGTCGCATTTCGATGGAGGCAAAATGGTAGAGGCCCGTATACTGTGTGATGTCAGTGCACGTTAGAGAACACCAGATGGTCAAAATTTCCAGAGCCCTCCACTACAGCGTTTCTCAAAATCATATGATGGCTCTGGAACATAAAACCCCAGCTATTATTATTACATGTGCTACTAGCAGATGACAGGTCTGCTTAAAATATTTAAAATTCGTGTCAGTATTCCTTTCAAGGCAGCAACAGGCAACCTTGGGCTGTGCCAGTCAGGCAGAAGCAGCCTTGAAGAAGACAAGTCCACTTCTGGAAACTGTGGGGGATCACGCGCACCCAGCCTCCCTTTCCCTTTTTACGGCAGCACGAAAGCCTAGGTGCGGGAATACCCGCAAGGCCGGCGCTCGTGATTCCCCCTTTCCCGGCACGCAGCACAGATTCCCCTCTCCCCTCAGCAAGGAAAAGGTATTATTCTCGTCAGGGAGAGGGAAACCGGGGCAGGGGTCAAAACTGGCGTGCGGACGGCCGCACGGTCTCTCTGACACCGGCTCAGGAACCAAGGCAGTCGGACCCGCAACCCCCCTGCGAGCCTAGGACGTCAACGACCAAGGAGTAAGCGTCTACCCTTGTTTCCTAGCGACACTTGCGCGCTATTGCTAACGCCTAGCGATAAAGTGTCGTTATGTTGACCTAGCCTGTTGCCTTATTCGCTCGAACCTGTGTAGCTGCAGTGAGACGAGCTACGGATAGGAGACGTTAATCGTGCACAGTACGGCTGTGTGCGGCTGAAACATTAGTTAGGCTTCTGCATCAGCCGTACATAGGACGGACCCTCTTAAAACATAGGCTATACATGCTGACAACTTCTCTTGGCAATGCAGGAAATGCTACAGAGGTGGAGCTACTACATGTGCACTGCTCTGCATATCTAATTTTTGCTTTGTCAACATTCCGTATCTTCTATGATAGCAGTCGATTATTCTAGCAGCCGTGCTTTAATAACAACACTGCATACTATTTGTTTCGTCGGCTTAGACAGCCATCTTTTAGTGAAATTCGGCACAATCTCCTTCGAAGAAAGATCGGAAAAGCTGGAGGGTGACCTGAAGACAAAGGTGCCATTTGGCTCTGATGTGCACGTAAAGGATGCGACACTCTCACATGAACGTAAAGATGCAATAAAAATGCATAAAGTAAACAAGTAAAGTTGCAGATTCATTATTACAAAGCTGAAAATTTGGACATTCCCGTTAGTTTGGGCACCTTCGCAACACTGCCACTTGTCCAATTGAAGTAGTGTTAACTCACGACTGAAAATTCAGAGGCATTGCAGTGCGCCGTTAGATTTTTTTGGACTCTGGCTCACTGATCCGAGTCTGGAGTCAAATGCCATGATCAGCTGTCCGCAATAGTTACAATATTTTCACCAGTTTGGTAGCACTGAAAGGTTCTGGCGAAAATGCCGTAGGCCCATGTGCTCAGATTTGGGTGCAAAGAACCTCAGGTAGTCGAAATTTCCGGAGCCCTCCACTACGGTGCCTCTCATAATCATATGGTGGTTTTGGGACATTAAACCCAACATATCAATCAATTATCAGGTTGCATGGTTCCACTGTCTATGGCTAGAGATCGTGCCAATGTAAAAGCCAATGTAGGAGTCAATGCAGAACTTACAATTTCAAAGGTTGTGTGTATCGGCTACATGTAATAGCCGTTTTTCAGGCTTTCGCCAGCAAAGTATCCATTAAATGGCTATCACAGCCAAACCGCATACCAAGCCAAGCCACACTCGCAGTCAGCTGAACGTGACGTTCGAAATGGCCGCATGTACAAAACAGACAAGGAAAAAATCCCAGCCAGAAGCACTGCAGCACGAAAAATAGCCTAACATTGTTCCATTTGGCATTTGAGAGTGCTTGATCGGTTGCTTCTGCAGCCAGGCCTGATCCGAATTTCGCGACTTGCGTCTTTCTCTCTTGTTTGTTGCTTGACATGTGAAGCCTGGTCATAACCCTTACACCACCCATTCCATCTGCGCCGTTGGTACTAAGGAAGAAACACAGTAACCACTACTGGACTTTGACAACTGCGACGAAGTCGTATTGAAGGCGGCCAACCTCAATCTAATGTTTCTCGAGATTTTCCGCAGAGTTGGGTGATGGAATCATCTGTCATGTACCTGAACCAGCGCAAGTGAACAGTGACTCCAATGAAGTGCCACCCCCACCACTGATATCATATGCAGATTTAGCACGGGTCACAACAGTGCTACCACCTACAGTGATTGCTAAACACTGGCTGAAATGGAAGGTCTTGGTCGTTTAGTGATCGTGCTTTTGTGCAGACGTGTGTTTGCAAGTTTTCCTGGCCACTGGGACAATAAAAGGTGCTTTTAGGGGCGAAGCTCCTTAAAGCAGCACCCGTTCGTCCCTCCTAGTAGTCGTAGTGTGTAACCAGTCTTACGTTTTGACCTCCAAGGTGGTGCCGGTGGGAGTACTTCTCCTGTGCATTGTTAAAAATGAAAAATTCGCAGCGTGTGCGTTAACTAAAAGCCGAACTCTCCTGTCTCTCATTCCCCATTAGCAGCCATTGGCATGTACATTGAGTACTACCTGACAAGACGTTATACTCGCTGGGCGTAACCTCCTTGGTTTTAGAAAAGTTTACCGAGCGTTGAACTGCAGTGCCATGAATACAGTGAACTAGTATATACCATGAACTCGAGGTGGTTAACGGTGGGAAGTAGATACGAAGCGCAAAGCCGTAAAAAAGTAAAAGCTGAATTCTCCTGTCTCTCATTCCCCATTAGCAGCCATTGGCATGTACATTGAGCACTATCTGACAAGAAAGGGATGCTACGTTATACTCGTTGGGCGTCACCTCCTTGGTTTTAGGAAGGTTTAGTGAGCGTTGGGCCGCAGTGCCATGAATACAGTGAACTGGATGAATATACTGCCACTTGGCCGCTAGGTACGGTGAGCGCAAGCCATGGCTGCCCTGATAGAATGGAATACAATCTTCTGAAGCAGCCCGCGCTCTGATTAGTTGTTGATTATTGAAGCAGCCATTTTGCCAGTTTTCGGTGAGTCTCCCCGGCGGCTCAGTTCTTTCGAGTTGAAGACCTTTTGTAGCACGTGACAACTGGTGGAACTGCTGGGTAACCCCCAGCCGATGTTCCTAATGCCTACAGGTAGCCCTGTACCTGCAGTGACACCTGTTCACCGCTCAAGCCGAAGACTCCAAGGACTACCTTCTGAGCGTCGACCTCTTCGCGACATGACGTCTGTCACACCCCCGAACACTAGGGAAGGCGCTGCAGCCTCCAACGCACCGGAAAGCGCTGCAGCCACTCCTTATACGCTGTGGAAGCCATGTGTGCCAAAGGTGTTCCACGGTTCCGTCTTGGAGGATGTCAAAGACTGGCTCAGTTCGAACGGGTCTCCGATTACAATGGTTAGACTGACTTCGACAAGATGAGGAACATGGATTTCGGCTTGGAGGACAGCGCTCGTACTTGGTACGAAAACCGTGAGCCCTTTCCCTCGTGGAGCGTCTTTCGTCGATACTTGCTGGCAAGTTGGGCCAATCGTGATCGCCGTGAACGAGCGATTCAGTCACGCCTCGAAATGCCGAATGAAAGCGTCATGATGTACGACGAGGACATGACGAGCCTTTCGTCGAGCCGACCCGACATTGCGGAAGAAAAGAAGCTCCGCCATGTAATGCGAGGAGTGAAAGAGCAGCTTTTCGCTGGCCTCGTTCGCTGTCCCCCAAAGACCATAGCAAAATTTTTGACCTGAAGCCACAACCATGGAACAAGTGCTGCAGCAGTGCTCTACTGTGTACGACCGGCAAGTGAGTGTCGCTTCGTCAGTAGGTCATATCGGAGGAGCAGGAAGCAGCCTCAACATCGAGTCTCTCTGCGACCTCATTCGATCGGTGGTGCGCGACAAACTACAAAAGATTCAGTGCCAGAGTTCTAACCTGCAGGGTTTATTTGCAGCCTCGTCAGAAACGAAGTACGACAGGCTCTTCAAGTGTCGTCTTCCAGTTATGTCCCGCCTGTCCCGACGGAGCCACATTGTGCATCATACGCAGAAGCTACCAGTCGATATATTCCTGCTTCCCCGCGCTTCGTTAATCCTATGCCTCGGGATGCGCTTCCTTCGCTGCAGCCGATTCAGCACTTGGAAAATCAACAGCCGCTTCCCAGAAAATCTGACGTATGGCGCACAATGGACAGACGACCACTGTGTTATCACTATGGTGCAGCTGGACATGTGTACCGGGAATGTCCCTATCGTCACCCCGGACTACAAGGTTTTGTCGTCGACTCGCCACAGCCGAGATTCAGCGAAAGACCGAAAGCTATTGAAGAATACCTTTCCCAACAGCGCATGCCACTGCGGCGGC